CTGGTATTTTCTTGGTCATATACTTATCTATAGATTAAGAGTAGGAAGTTCAATATCTAGTTTTTGTGTTCATTAAATCGATGAACTTTCTTCAATGTAAGTAAAACTCGTTAAGATTTCTAATCAAAACATCGAGTATGATGCGAGTATGTTTTTGTTAGACAACTCTCACTGGAGATAAGAATATTACTTAGGCATCTAGATATACCATTCTAGCGAGGTAACCAAGTTTTTGTATTATTAATGTTAATTATTAATTCAAAGGTTTTATCGTAAACTTCTTCTTACAGTAGTCAGATTGTCACATTAGAATTATCTTAAAAAAATTTGAACTTTTTAATTAATAATTTAACCAAGCTATTTTCGGTTCAGCTTTGTGCAAAAAGATCTTACTACAAGATGTCGAAAGATCACAAAGTTATGGTTCGAAATCACATTTCAAGACATCTTTTTAAAACAAACGTCTTGTCAGTTAGTAATTTTTTGTCGATGTCAAAAGGGCACGTTGTATTGTTTGGGACGATGTTAAAAATAAGTTCCGTATGGTAATAGGGCGGGTAATCTTTACGGCAGGTGTCGCTAGCGAGGCGTCTTCGTGGCCCATTAAGGTAGTTCCGTAGTTACAACTCGACCCGGTTGCTATTGTGTTGCGACAATGCAGCGACAAATCGACCCTTTGTTGTCACTTGTCTTGCGACATGCGATGCGCAGCTCTATTCTGCAATTGGTCATGTTTAAATTATCATTTTGAAATATGACAAACTATTATTTCGTCGGGGAATTTAAAAAAAGTAGTGTAACCATTCTGATATTTAAAAACATACTAGAAAAGGAGTACAAGATACGCAGTACATTATGCTGTCACAAATTTGGAATCGGATATTTTATAAGATGTTACAGAATATCCCATCAGTATTTTCGTTCATTGTTTATAACCCATATTGTTACGAAATAATGCTTCCTCCGCACTCTTACTATAACGTATTTCAACGACATCAGTTTCGGTTTTGAATGGAAAACATTGGATTCGCAAATAACTGTGTCAAGGAGAATTTAAGTTGTCAAAATGAAATTACTGTTTCCACATTTGATATTATTTGTCAGAAAAATGTGCAATCAAAAGTTTTTTTGAACTTAAGATTTATAACCCTGTATGTACCATTTACTATTACCATACATACCGTACAAGCCATTTATCATTCTAGATGAAATTTCGATAGTACATACTAAACAAGACAAACGTAAAACAAATCTCCAATAACCAATTACAAAAAATTACAAAAAATGTTTTGTTTTTCGTGTCTTCTTACAATACCCAGTTATTGTTCAATAAACTTTTTAATAACTTAATATCACTCATAGTTAACTTAATCTTTATACTATTTTAATCAATAAATTTTATAGTTGGTAATCGTTCACGACGAAGGTCTGGTGATTGATATCCTGTTGGCATGCAGGACTCGTCATCTGTGGTTGGTCACGAGCCATTAAGTAAAGCGGAGAGGATCTCTGTGACCGCACCTAATAGTAAATCGAAGATTTAAAAAACGAATGTTTTGTTTATGCATTTTCTAGAATTTTTTTTAGGAATTCATATTTTTTATTAGTGTTTTTCAATAGTCAGTACCTACATTATATTGTTATGACGTATGAAAATACGTTCCTACTTTTACTCTAAGATTTTACTTAAAGAAACAAATGAAAATGAACTGATACCTTCAATAAAGCTTTTATGAGGAGACTCGTAATATCGTGCCTTAAATGCTGTAAGTTTCGCAAATAAATTAGCAATATTACTGTAACAAAGTTCCCAAAGGAATAATTTTAGGTAAAGGGTTTTCATGTTTCTACAGACAAGCGGCGAACTGAAATAATTTACCCCTTTGTACTCCCTTGGGGCGTAGTAATGTTTATTTTCCATAACGTTTAACAAATTAAATAAAAAAGAAAAATTCTTGCCGCTCTTTCATCGATAGTGTCCGCGTTAGGATAGGGCGGGGATGTGTGATCGCCCAGGGCGCTTGACAGGATAGGGCTTTACTGGTCTGCGAACTGACACCACTTGACTCTGACTGTTACTTAAGTCTTAATCCAGTCATAATGAAGGAGAGAACACTGTACAATCGCCCAGGGCGATTGTAGATCTTTTGTCGCAACTGTTGATAATAAAGTTTTAGTTAAAGGTTATTACGGAAATTCTAGACCTTTATCCTCCGTCATATATTAAAAGGAAGGCTCAGTTAGTTTTATGATGAATACGTCACCATTATATTAAATGAAACTTAAATTCATTCAACAATGAAGAAAGCTTTTGCTTACCTTGTTACAACATTGAGTACATTGCGTTATCTAAGCTTAATAAAAAATGTGTATCAAAAAAGTCGTTGACATTCTTATCTTGTAAACAAGTTGTAATTTGTCGAGGTGATAAAACTCCTCGCTATCATTAAGCTAAGCCTTCTGACGTAAGCTAAAGAGGCTCCGCGGGGAAAAATAATTAAAACATGCCATTTCATAAATATTGCCCACCGGTTTATTTGATTAGTGGCCCAACATTGAAGTGAGGAAATTATAATTATCTTTAGTCTTCAGTTGTTATTTATAACTACCTAAAGTACTAGAAATAAAAGCCTTAAAGGAAAACATCTCTGAAATAAAGACATCAATTTGTTTTACACTGAAAACGGTAGCCATGTTTTGTAATTAAACGAAAATAATCATATAATTTTTAACACCGACATCTATTGTCGTAATAGCTTAATTTATTAAAGCAAAAGTTTTGTTATTTTAGTAAAAAAATGTTTACCCACAGTCATAAAAACCAGAGCCACAGTATGACAGACGCGCACGCAATCTACCCATTTCTTTTCCGGTCCTAAGAATAGAACGATTAGCGTTTTGCACGCCAGCCGATTGTCTGTGAATTATTTTTTTCATTTCGATCTCGAAGAAATAGTAGAGAAAGTTACACATCGTTATTAATAGCTATAGAATATAATCGATTTAAAGAAAAATGAATTCATTACGACCGTCACGTGCGTCTAAGATTATTTTTTTATGTTAAAAGACCGGCTAAAATTTAATACTTTACTGAGCTTTGAATTATGCACGAATTTTATAAAAACTACCAATTATAGTTTTAGTATCTTTTTATTAATTCTTTATATTAAAAATAAGCCATAACACTTGTTTCCTTAAATGTTTTTTTCTAAACAATAATGTTTTGACAAAGCAAATATGTATATTACAATGCCATCTTTAGCTTTAGCTAGTATGATGCATTTAAACCTTGGTGGTTATGAAGTGAAACCACAATATTTTCCTTTTAAAAATTGTTCAGTTTGCAAAATAGATGGCGCTGTCTTATAATTTAATAAAAATACTATGGATTCTAAAATTTATTATTATCGTGACTTTTAACTTTTCTGAGCCTATAAAAATAAAATTAATAGCTTTTTGTCATTATTTATTCATGTCCTTTTAGATACAATGTTACTAATGTGATATTTTGGTCTTTAATTTTTAACTAATTTGATAAAAAAATGTCGCTTAGGCCTTATGGTAAAAACTAATAGAGGACAAATGATGTCATTGGTTTATGAATCATGCAAGACCTGCATCACAGAGGAAACAGATTAACATATCAATTTTATATGCAAGGTCGTTTCCCTTGATATTAAGTCGGACTGACCCAAATAGTGGTAAATATTTTCTCACGTGTATCTATGCAATTATAGTCTGATAACTTGATCTCGACTTTTTAAATACTTTTTTTACTACTTTAAAAGAGTATTAATTATTAGTGATGATCGATCAAGTTAATTCGATTGAGTTTTCTTGATCTTAATCTTTCTATACTAATGTTATAAAGTGGATGGTTTTGTATTTTTGTATGTATCGATATATCTCAAAAACCATTGGGCTGATTTCAAAAACTCTTCTAGTATTTGTAAGGTAATTTATCTGTGAGAAACATAGGTTATATTTTTTGTTATTCTTTAATTTAACACGGACGAGACACAGCTAGTAAATAATGAATAAAATATCCTATCCTTGGTCTATTATGTCGTGATATAAAAGCAAGGTTCTAGTTTTAAATATTAACATAAACTCTACTGTTGTGTACAGTATAGAAAATAATGTACAACAGGTCAAATCTAAATAAAAATTGTATATAATTTTATTTCTGTTAATAAAACTACGTAGGAGTTCTTGTACATACGTTTATTAGTACAAAATTACATTGCGAGGGAATGACTATTTTTTGTGTATAATTTTACAAACTTGACTTCGATATACAAGATTCGGAGCACTACAAAACCTTACAAACGTCGTATAGGCAAACAAGAATATCTAGTCCAGTAGGGGCGCTGTTATCTCTTGGTTCTATCAGATTATATGTAAAATCTACATTAACATCAGATATTAAAAAAAGGAAACAAAGTTGAAACTTCACTTGAAACATTTTACACAAGTCACTAGTGCTGCCTGGTCTCTTACAATCAAAGTCACAAACAAGCAAATAACACAAGCATCTAGGCGTGACAAATTTAACATTGTTATGTGCCGTACAGAGAAAGTACCGGTGAAAACATATTGCTCCCTATGTCTAGTCTACATATTTCTTAAATGTCTTTGATGAACATAGAAATTCGCATAAAAAGAGGGCGCTAGTGAGCTATTACAATTTAGTTTCTCTTATGGCCGGTAGGGTTAGATATCTTGTCAGCTTATACAAATTTTGTTATTCACAGAATACAAATGTGTAATAATGAAGATTTAAAAACATACAATTAACAATAACTACCATAATTTATAATTAAGCTAATTTCACTGGCCACTTTTCTGTTCGAACAAGTCGCAAATTATTCCAATAACAATTAATTTGCAATTCATTAAATTCAATTTAAAACTTATTAATTTCAAAGAAATAAAAAAAAATTCAATCATTGATTTTGTTAGTAATAGTTAACTTATGTATTTAAATCTTCATAATATTTTTTTTTTATTTATTGCACATCTACAAACGTTTAAAATAATTTTGTCCTGTAATTTTATTACAAATATAACAATAAGCTTTCTACGCACAAAACTCCACGTGTATTTTCAAAATATATCTTACACAACCTACTTAACAAGCGTATATCTATACAAAAAATTATTCATAAATTCATTTCCAGCCAGTAAATTATAAAATTGACAACATTGTGCTGCTATTTTAATTTATTAATTTGACACTACCCAATTACATTTTAATTTGTAATATGTTGAAGAAGTTTCATTACTTCACTACAGACATCTACCTAATTCTTATCTTTGGGAGAATTTCTAACCTATTTTATGAGCTGCGTTATAAAAGGAAAAAATAAATCAGGTACAGAACAGAAAAAGTGTTTCAGTGCGTTGAGAAATTTAATATTGACAGATTTGTTTAATGGCACATTATTATATTTCATTTAAAAATTAAAAGAGAACACAGAATTAGATACACGCATAAAGACATAAGATTTCATCAATATTCTGATTACAATAAAATATTCATAGACTCAAAACTGGTTTAAAAATTTTTTATTATTAAAAATTGTCACAATTTAAATATAATAATAATTTGAGCTGATAAATCATTTAAAAATTGAAAGAACATGTTTTAATTTAAGTCATGGTCTTAATTTAACTTTGGGTATATAAGTCACTTACCTTGAAGCAATGACAGATTCCAATTAAAATTTACTTAGGACAACTTAATGCCTTCGGGTTGACGAATAAATTATATTTTAATAAATAATTTCAACATTACTAATGATTAATTCATTTCTACTCCATAAAGTGACCTTGTCGTAAATAACTTATCAGTTAAGTTGTTAAGAACCGCTACATTTTAATAAGCTTTTGTGCTTACTAAATTGTTTTCTACGTGTCAACGTCCTTAAGTATACAAGCAAGGAATAAAGCAAGAACACCCACACAATGACTGGGGATTAAGCACAACTTAAGTTAACATTTTCCAACTTGATATTCAAGATTTCTCAGTCGTCATCGTTAAGTAAGTCTGTACAGGATTTTGCTTTGGTTGATCTGAAAATAAAAAATGAAACATGAAAATAACATTTTTAAGGAAAGTAAACCTTATGCCTTTTTCACTTGTTTAGTTTATTTTATAGTAAACATTATTTACTTTGCAAGCAGGTTAAAGTATGGCAAATAATGTGCGTCTCATTCTTTGGTATATAGTTTCTTCGGTGAAGAAACTGGTCTCCATCTGATGGTGGTTTAATATTAGGCAATCTCTTGTTTACTTACTCTTTAAGAAAATTAAATCAATCATAAGTGATTTTTTGGTCATAGACACTTGTACATAACTTTTGTTTTATATCTACCAACAACTTTTAATTTCTAGATATTTAATTTATATATAACATACTATTACTACTTATAATTCTTATAATATTTTTTATTTTTTATTAATTAAATAAACTTACTGTGCACTTTTGATTCTTCTACAGACTCTAAGTTCTATGGTACCACTGCGCACTGCTTTGAAAAGCGCCAACGCCTCCACGTGTGCCAACTCATGACAGGCTTGACCGTTCACTGCTAGGACTTCATCTCCTGGAAATATCATTTTAAGGGTTACTTTAAGTGCAGTACTAATGTACTTAGGAATTTAATAATTATATTCCTTTCCATTCTTTATTATCATAACATGAATGTAGAATAATTCCTAATTAAGGGATCGTAGAGATTTATTGATATTAATCCTTCTGGTATACGAGAATAGCATAAGTAAGTAAAAATTATTTTGTTATTAACTTCGATTGAAGACAACGCATATGTTTGTTATGTTATTTTTATAACAAATGAAAAAAACTGCACTGATTTGTAGTAATGAATATTAATCAGAGGTCTAATGATTTAAATTTAATGTCTTCATCATGAATCAGTAATTTTATATACAATTCACATGAAACATTATATCTGTATTATTTGCAATATTTTTGTACTCAGTAATTGATGTTTGCGTCATGTTTTAGATGTTACACAAAATTAAACGTAAATTGAAAACTGTAATGTTTTCAAAACACGTTTTATCGTTCTATTTTATCTTGTAACTTTTACTGATAATAATTCGAATACAAAATAAATAAATCGACACTTACTGCTGTAACCTAAATTTATGTCAACTTATTTGCTGTTTAATAAATAATCATTATCGAAAATGTATTTTATTTATAACCACAACTAGTGACAAATCACATTTACAAACAATACCCTGCTTGTCGTTTATTGTGCGCTCGATATTACAGCTCCAACAAGCGGCAGCACAATGCGCCTTTTCCTATCGTTATCAAATTGCATTCCTCGAAATTAATGAATGACGCGTTGTCGTTTATTAGAAGTAATTATTAGAAATGTAATTATAAGAATCATTTACCTGCTTTCAATCTGCCATCTTCAATTGCCTGTCCCTGAGGAAGGATGCTCTTGATGAAGATACCGAGCGGTCCCCGTGGCGAATCACGTCCCCCAACTATAGTGAACCCGAGCGGTCTCTTGCCGTGACCTTTCTCAAATGTTATGGTGTGATAGGTGTGCGTAGGCGCACGCGGTCGCCTAGGGAGCGTGCAGAAATTAGCCGTGCTTGGTGTTTGAACTTCACTTTCACTATCTATCTTGTCACCGGCACTTTCAGTTGCACAGTCCGGGGTGTCAACGTCGACTACCTCGCTGGCGCAGCTGAGTGTGAGCGCTTCTTTATTGGAGCCGCCGTAGCTGACGACCTGTCGGCGTAGGAGCTTGTTGTTCATGCTGCTGTAGCTCGCGTTCTGTCCCTTCAGGAAATGCGAGTGTCCGCCGGCTGCGCCGGGTGGGCCGGGCGCGCCGCCGGCCGCTTCGTCCGCAGCTGATAGCGCGTCGCGATTACACGTTGATTCGTCCTGTGGCTGTCGTCGCTCTATTCTGACGTCATATTTATCGATAGCCCTTTCCTTTCCTAATATGATAGCGTTCTCGTAGTCTACTGAACTCTCCCGCATGAGTACGTGACTTTTTTGCGGCGGCTCTTTTTGTCTTTTCTCCGGTGATGTTTTTTCCCGTTGTCTACAGATTACGATGTCTATTTCCGATGCACCTGATCTCAAGGCTTCTTTAGCTTCCGGCATAGTCAGATCACGAAGTCTGCGGCCATTCACGTTCAGCAACTCATCGCCTATTTGTAATGATCCTTCTCTGAAATTTAAAGAAAGTTAAAATTAGTTTATTTAAATTAAATATAAATTGTTTACCTTAATTACTGTTTTAGGGAATTTATGACAAAGATCCTTGTTTAGAAAATTCTTAACACGATACAGCCCTTAACTGTTTTAGATTATTTAAAAAAAAATCAAGGACCTAGAAAAGTTGTAATGACGGAAAGAAATTTGTTCTAGTGAAAACTAGTCTAATTACGTTTATCTAAAGAAATGAAACTCACTTTGCCGCTAGACCTCCTGGCACCACGTGAGCAACTAAATATCCTACGTGACCTTCATCAGACAATTTAGTTTTAGCAATAAATATTCCCAGTTCATCACTAGGATTTCGTCTTAAAATCCTGACAACTTTAAATTCTGAATGTGCCTTGTTGTGAGTATTTCCTTTTGATGGTTTACGACAAGGTGGAATTGGTGGAATACCTGTATCTCCGCGACTTACATCTCTTTGTCTCATTTTTTGTTTTTCAGTCAACTGTAAATATTGTGGTTCGTCGTAATCTAAACCATTTTTAGGCATGCGTCGAAGTATTTCCTTTCGGTCTAATGACAATGCTCTTTGGTTGTGACGGGCTTTAGATTTGGCACATTCAGTTCTATCTCTACTTCTTCTTCCTGAAACTCTGGCTTTTGTATACGTTTGGTCGCCAGAAACACTTCTGCCATGGCAAGTTCCTTGAGAATTGGAATGAGAAGCAGAACTTTCACAACGCGACGATATTCTATCACTATCGAATACAGATGATGCCGCCGATTCATTTACAAGAATACCAGAATCAGCATCTTCACAGTCCTGTATGAGAATGTTCTCATCGTCACATGAAACGTGATAAATGTCATCGTGGAATATCGCACTTTGACCTTTTTGAAATTCATCCAATCCAGGCAAAGCTCCATATGAGAAGCTTCTTAGCTTTGCTTTTACGCCCCCTCTTTTCTTACGGCTTTTACTAACAGCGGGTTTAGTTGCATTTTCAGTAGCATTATTTACAGCTTCTTCTTCCTCTCCATTTTGTTTGTAAAGTTTTGAAAAAAATCTGTTCGTTGATGATTTAAGGTACCTATCAGACATGGCTCTCAATTTAGCGGATAAACAAGAACTAGGTCCAATAGTATCTTTGTCATTTTTAATCTTATGTTTATCAGTCTTCTTGTCAGATTTAATTGTAATCGGTAAATCTTCATCGTAAGGTTCATAATCGTCGTTGAATATTTGGTCACTGGATTTTGACAGCTTTGCTCCAGCTTTAGGTATGGCATGATAACGGTCACACTCTGAACCAGAGCTATAACATCTTGTACCTCTATTACTTAGTGACTTTCCTTCCCTCCACCTACACTCTTCCGGACTAGTAGTAGTACTTTTTGCATAAAATACATCATCATCATAATTTGCCATTTTTACCCATGGGTTATGATTCTCAAATTCATTGTGCGTTTCAGAATAGTTTCCGGGGTACCGACATCGATTGATATCTTCTACATGTCCGAAGCCACTGCAATCGCTTCCAGAAGTCGAAGCGGCGTCATCACAATGTCGCAGAGGACCGTTAGATTTGAAACATGATAATTTAGTATTTTTCACTTTATCCAGTAACGGATTGCGCTTTTCTCTGTACACCATATACTCTTTCTCTAAAGAGCCGCCGCGGTTTTTGCGACACGTGTTATAGTTATCTTGTGGTGAGGTGGGACCATTTTGTAACGACACCCGTCTAGTTACTGGAGTTTCTATTTCACGACACAAATGTGGTGATTTATCTACAATAATGATTTGATCGTTTAAATTGTAGAAATTTGTTTCCACCGAGCTGCCGCTACTTTTTCTGTTTGAGTAGCGCACTGGGGACATATCTGTAAAAAATAATGAACATTAACCAAAACACTTGAATCTATATGAATCTTTAGTTTAATCATTTTTGCATATAAATTGTTTAATGACGACAGTGATCACCAAATAGATGTTTCGACAATTTAAAACAAACTGCATCGAAAATTACAGTAAACATAATACTATAAATAACCTGTACCGATTCTGGATCTACGAGTTGATCGCGTTTCTGTGTCGGGCGACACGGCCAGCAGCCGCGGCGGCTCGCCCTTCCTGAACCACCGCATTGTCCGCGCCCACCTTGCGTCGCCTTGCTCACTCCATAGCGCAACTGAAACAACCAACTTGCATTTAAACAGGAACACGGGTTAACGGTGCCGTTAGTAATACAATCCACGATGATATTGTAAATACACATGTAAGTTCACAATCCAAGTGAGAACAGAAGACATACGAACTAACTAAATAGGTTAAAAGGTTAAACAGTAAGTAATTTAATCTACTAAAGATAATGATGAGAGTCTACGTCAGACGGTATATAGTTTATTGGAGAGTAGCTTTCGCCCACGACTCTGTCCGAGTGGAAATAAAAAAAGTAAGTACCCTATGTGTTCTTCCAGAATTTCCTCTACATATATACCAGATTTCAAAATCCGTTCAGCCGTTTAGGCTATAAACTCTAGCAAACATCTATCCATCCATCCATCTAAACTTTCGCATTTATAATATTAGTATGATTATAAACATTTCATGATAATCTTCAATGAAATCAATCAAAAGTCTATTACTTAGTAAACGTAAGTGAAAAGCGGAAGAAAGCTGACATCGAAGTTAATTAACTGGGAAACGATGTCAGCAAATATAAATTGCAAAACGACGAGTGTATGTTAGTTCCATATTATGTCACCATAACCTAAAATCAATGAACACGATTGAAAATAAATCAATTGCTATATCGAATATTTTGATAGAAATTATTGTAAAATCAAGACAGAAGGTAGGCGTGCGTTCAGCCGTTTAGGCTATAAACTCTAGCAAACATCTATCCATCCATCCATCTAAACTTTCGCATTTATAATATTAGTATGATTATAAACATTTCATGATAATCTTCAGTGAAATCAAAGTAAAATAATTTAGTTATGAACTGGGTTCTATAAACCGGCCAGGTGGGAATCAAATTATTTCGAAATAATACAGCTCTGGATTTGTAATCGATTACTGCAACTCGTTTAAATTCTATATTAATTAAAATCGATAACATTGTATTAACCGCTTACTATAGTCAACAAAGTAATTTGTTAGCGTAATGCGACATCTATCAGCGGTAAAGGCTGTCGTAATGATTGACAATCGGTTCGATTATGATCACGTAACGCTTAACCTTGGTCTGGCAACGATGCGTTGAGTAATTTGTCCACTGACCTCTATAAATGGACAGGCTATAAGACGAGGTATTTTATACCTATTTGATTTTAGTCATCTTGACGCCGACGGTCGCGATTGGTGATAGAATTAACTGTCATCATGACATTTGATCATCATCTTCAGGCGCCTATTAATCGCAAGAAGCAAAAGCTGTAAAGCTGTCATTTCCAAGTAAATACCTATCCATATTTACACATCAGAATTTGTCGCTCAATCGATTGACATTTTTGTTAAATTGCTGCTTATTGCACAGTAGGCGTCAGTACTAAGAAAAATTCAAATCGTATTTTTACTTCCTGCAGACAATTAAGAAACCTATAAGTGAAGAGTAATTAATTTGACACAGAGGTTATTATATTGTAGAACTTAGATAGTAGTTTATTAATGTAATGATAACATTCATTTATAGGCACAATTACGTCATAGGCGTCCTGTTTCTGAGAGGCAAAGATAAGGTGTTGGACAGACAATAATTAAACCTATTTCTGACACGAGGAGAAATCACAAAACAAGTCGTAAAATTAAATAATGGAAACAGACAAGAAATTTTTACTGGTTTATTTAATATGGCTAATTAATCAACCAAAAATGCTACCAGTAGAACATTTAATTTTAATTCGACCTACATATCTTTGCAGATTTATTTCTTGGTCACACAAAATCATTACCTGATTAATCATTGCCACATATTTAAATTAAAGTTATAGGAAAAATCGAACTAGACATATCTATATACTATTATAATAAAGCGTAAACACACACTTCTTTGTTACCTAAGATGTCAGCAATTACTGCATATTTTTGAATAATTATTTTTTTAATAAAAAGCCCTATATTTACGCCACGTTTTAGTCTATATATTTTCACGCCAATTAACTTAGGGGGTAAACATTTTGGATAAAAAACCTAATGTGGGAAAGAGACCAAGTAAGTTGCTGGCAACATCAAGAAAGAAAGATTGCTAAGGTTTGTCATGTCATGTCATTTTGACATTTGCAATTGAATTTGACAAATGTAATCAATAAACCAATTTTCATAATTTCATGCGAATGAAGTCGCACGGGAACAGCTAGTTTGACATAAGGCTAAGCTAACATCAACGTTAAATTAAAAACATCATGCAAAAAAGTCATTAGTTACGCAAACTTACTCAACGTGTAATAAAACATCACGACCTGACCTCTTAAAGACCTCTCAGCTCAATAAATAACACTCATAAAGTGTGCATAATAATCATGTAATTATTTATTTGTTTAACAAAACACATTTTATGTTATCAAGCAATAAAATGTACAATTTGAATTTAAGTACACATATCTGTGTATTTGATGCTTTGTTACAAGGGTAAATCGAGACTGTAGAATTAGCGAGGTGACAAGACTATGCTAACACTATGCCCACACATATGTGGGCTATAGCTTTAAACTTGTGCGTATAGAACATATTCTACGAGAAATACGTCTCACAACATAGGAAAAAAAAAACAAAAAGCAATAACTTTACACGTTAAATCTAGTGCTACGAAGTTATTGCTATCTTTTTTTTAAGTATTTGATGTTTTTTTTTTCATATATTAATTTCATCGTATAGAAACTAAACTAGGAACTTTTATATAATGTAATAATGTCGCAATTGTGTTTTTTTTAATTTCACATGATGTTTTTATTAATAATTATTTTATATAACATGAATAATACAATTCTAAGAATGTAATGCCTTTCATCGCATTGAAAACGATATCGTGAGAATGGAGAGAAAAACATAAGCAAGTTCGTTAAACGCGCGGGAAATGAATGAGGAAGCCAAAGATACGTAGGTACTGCCATAAATGTTCTGATATTAACTTGGAACGATGGCAAGACAAGTAATCAAGCATGGTCATCGAATGTATATAAAATCTTGGCAAATTCTTACTTGTGCTCAATGCGAGTAACGAAATCAATATTCGATCCGAGTGATCGATCCGAAAGTTATGTTGATATCTTTAGATTGGTTAAATTTTAGTAAAATTTAAAAATACCAAGATAGATAAGCAAATGGTCAGAGATATTTAATTTCAACCGTATAACGTATTTCGTTGGTTAGGTATTGTCGCAACACTACGTAGGAAGTCACTATAGGAAGAAGTGTTTAGAATTGTATATCGTGTTTACGCAATCGCTTAGCATTACTCAATAAACTAAACAAAGTAGAACAAAGAGACAATGTTATTACACAATAAAAGCAATAAATTAGAAAGACGAAGCGCCAATAGCAGATTTAAACGGGCTATCGAACAACTGGAACTATAACTTATATGTTGTCTTTGTCTTTTTCCAAAGGAATGACAGGGATATCTGTTAGTACTAGGCTTGACAGTGGGATTCACGGTGAATTACAACTGACGCATGACATAGTACGAAAATTGCAAGCGAACGGAAATCATACGCATACGGAAGTAATTACGTTTCCTATAACTTCGTATGTTATCGTGGAGAATAATACTCATTGCCTCTTTGTCTATTTCCTGACAGTAATTCGATTCTTTTTTAATTGTTATGCAAATTCGATTATACAGTTTAACAGAGAAGTGGAGATGTTAAAACAATAATATACGTATTGTTAGATAATTTATGTCATAGTAGGAAAGTCGCCGCATGCGATACTTTCCCATCGCACTTTGGAATGTTGTATAAGACTCGGAATAAGACGTCATGCATTCAGAATATGGACATATTTGTTTTATAAGGTGTAATCATAAAATGTAGGTATTAATTACACTTAAAGAATAAAGATACAAATAAACTAATAAAAAAAACTTATTATTCTATACATGTATCTAAAATTTATATCATAGCAACACTTACGTTGTTGGTACTTACAGTACAGTATTCAAAGCCGTTTTAATGTCACTAAAATTCTCAATGTTGATTTACTATAAAAACTCTTAGCGGCCATAGACTTGGGGTGCAACCATGAAACATTTGAAAACTGGCCACCTTATGGATACAGAATAAAAAGAAAAACAAAGTCAAAGAATAATAAACACAAAGAAACAATACATGTTATCAATAATCTTTGCCTCTATAGCCCAGATCTATTCTTTCTATAGGCTGTAAAAAGTTTAGCTTGACTGCACCGCAATTTTATTATCGAGGAAATGGCCGCGATCTCAGCTAACAATGGTTTTAGATTAGTTGTTAATACTGTTGCCTGGTATGATAGCCCGATCCCTTCGCTAACCGCTGCTTTTGTACCATTAACTATTTGCATGCTATGTAATAACAGTAATAAATATGAAAAAAATACATGTCTTTATAACATCACTTACAATAGTATTCAAATGCAAAATCTCTTAGAACTTAAGTTATTATAAATTAGGTATTTTTGTTTAAACTATATGCTATTTAGTGACAGAATTAATTTACTTTAAGGGCTATAGGCAAGGACTTGAATTTGTAAATAGAACAGAGATTAAGAAAGCATTAAAAATGAAGACGAGATAAGACTTGAAAAACGAACCTTTTAGTATAAATTTAGATCACCGAGCCAGATAAATTAGTCGCACTATAGTTTTGAGGTAACGCTAGTATTAATAATTTATAAATATAACTAAAACTATTTGAAAGTGTATGTTAGTGTGTCATTTCTTGGGCGTCGCGTTGGCGTCAAAGGCGACAAAGTATGCAATCTTGGATGACGTCACAGTGACCGGCCTTTCATATTTACCTCAAATGGATTAATTCTCAATTACACTTATGAGTAATCTACCATTACCGATTGATAGTTTTAATAATCAATGTAAAAATAACGGAGGTAGCTTAAATGGGATAGTAAGGATTATATGGATGTAAGAATATAATAGGTATAAAAAGATCCAGTTGAATACTTGTCTTGTTTCTACATCTTTGCTAATCTTTGGCG